TTGTGCGACTTGCCGATGTCCTAAGGTATGCAAAAATAAGCAAATTGTCTTCGATACGTGACTGCGTCAATTATATAGAAAGCGAATCGACGGAAATTAGTCATAACCGATGACAGCGATTGTTGGGTGGAGGATTGATCTTGACAAACCTTGACTTGCGAGTGATGGTATTCGTAGAGTTAGTCATATAGAGTTAAGACTATGGCAATCTCAGTGCGTATTTTCAAGACTTTGCGTCTAGGAGTCAGCAGTTCATCTTCAAAATGTAATCTTCCAGACACCTATGGTCCGTAGAATGATTGTACTGATCACACGCTTATCTTTACACGAGTAACCTTTAGAGTCCTTCAGGTACTGCCGTATGTGTACCTCAGGCAGCTTTAGTATGCCGTGTTAATGTCGCCCAAGCGAATCATCTGAGTCAATATGACACAAGGTGCGACAAACAAACCTTGCGTGTGACTGCGGTATCTCAATCTGCAAAATTGCTGCTATCACTTTGAGCTAAGCAATATAGACCATGAGGCCTATGTCTTTTAAAGCGTAAATCCATGTCGTTCAAATGATAAGCTGTCCATTTAACGTCTCGGATCAAGTTTTTTAATTCCAGCGCTGAGATCTCCTCATCCATGCTTTTTACATGCATCGCCTATCGATGGCATCAAAGATTCTCAACTTTGCCGCGTCGGTCCGCATGAATAGCTCTAAATGCTGAGCACTATGGGTAAAATCAATACTATCCGGCATTTGACATTGATCAAGACAGCGTAGAACTTATACCACACGGCGCTCTCGGCTCAGTCGTTGAGTGTTACTAAACATTCATGCGATATGTGATGTCCCCATCACTGTGATGACTATGTTCATCGGTATATCTGAAAGTGGCTGAATTATTTCAGAGAGAATCTAGTGCAATAGCAATATGCAAGCGTTTAGTGACGCAGCGTAAATTCTACAAATCATCAGGTTGCTGCCTTCAGCTTTGCATCTTCATATCCAATAACAAGTTTATTGTCATCTTCGCCAACATTTGAGTCTCCATCAGCTTCATAAGTCAACAGAACATCAGTGTGTACATCTTCATCGTGGCCTTTCCACATCCTCTGCAATCTAGCCCCTTACGTTTCTTACATAGTCTGGAAAGGCTTTATTTGCAGGATACTTTACACTTACTGATCGCTAACCTACGTCTTCCTTCATATGCGTGTTATCAATAAAGTTGCTGTTGTAGACCATGCCGTTCAGAATTTATGGCATCAGCATCAGCACCATTCGCTGGTACATTTCCAACTAGTTTCCTCCACCGACCCTTTGGTTGCGATGCGCTTTCTGCATTATTAAACTTGTGATCCCGATCAATCATGCCGCAGGGCTGTCGTAGCTCTTTCGCTTAGAGGTTGCTTGGTTAAGGTCGGTTACCTGCTCTATACTTAGAGCCAGTACGAGTGCAATCCGCTAGTAACTACAACCTGAACCCAAGGCTAATGAACTCTTCCGTTTATATTTTAAGCTGTATTTCTAGGTTTTATTTGCGGCAAAGCCGCCTATGTCTAAATCTATAGGTTTTCCTATCTATTTTATAACTACTGGCTCTTCGACCTCAGTTACATATCATGTCCATTGTTTGCTTTTATTTGTTCACCTTCGTCCTAAAGGCACTGCCTTATACTGAATTGGCTCATATATACTGACGTCTGCAACAAACCCAGCACGTTCTCTTTGCATCCAAGTAGAGAAGCAATCTTGTAGCCCATTTCATTTCGTTACTATGTAAAGTCATGTAAGATTTCTTCTCACTGCGTACGGAGTGCGAACAACAGCAATTGCAGAATACGTAGAACTTAAATGTACTGCTGCTGCCTATCGAAAATGGCCGCAGAAGTCGTGACTCCTGCATCACGGTTCAATTTCTATCAGCATATCAAATCAAACACGATGTCACTGTGTATAAAAAAAGTTTATCCAAGTTTAGCGAGTTGACTTGCATCGCTGCATACCAAAGTGATAGTCTGACAGCTATACTCTGTTGCGGTGCACTAAAAGTTGACCTTCTTTGACTGCTGATATTCGTTGCTTCTCGGTAAGACACTCCTCGTCTTCTTTTCAACACCATTGTACGCATTAAATGTTCATAAACAGTCGGCACAGTCGAATTACTTTCGTGTTATCTTTGATGATGCCACAGGATTCCACGATGTTGAAGCCTTGCTTTAGTGTATGTTCACATGTCTTAGAAACACGAATATCATTTCTTCGTACCGTCGAAAATTGTGCCAGACTTGAGAATGCATGCTTATCCAGTACATTCAAACGATCGTCTCCAGATCAGGACAATCATTGAGTCTAGTATTCGATGCCTACATTCAAAGTGTTCTTTTAAAAGTCAATACTCATGACCTGCTCTTTATCATCTTTCAGAAAGCCATGTGAAATATTTGGTCAAGCTTCACTTCGCGCGTCTGCAGTCAAAAGGCAAGTTCTTCCTCATCTTTGAGCATAATAAAACTTCTGCAATACCACAGCTTTGCAAGCTTTTTCTTGAACCAATGTGTAGAGGCGGGTTAATTACTCACGTCACCATTTGTGTGTAAGCGTTTTTCGTGAATCTTCACATCATTGTATTTGAGTCAATGTTTGTACTTATGATCAGATTCTGGATATTCGTGTATTTCTCTAAAAAAACAGTCTTTTTCCTCTTGGGTTCACGCTGTATCTTCCTTTATCACCAGTTGAGATACAAGAAACTGTTTGAAAATAACATGTCCATTTCTCTCAATTCCGGTGGACTGGAATACCGCACGAGTCAATTTGAAAGAGTTTTCTAAATCAAGATGACATTGTACAGTCCAGAGCTTCGCATAACTTGGCTGAGGCATAAAAATCTAAGCTGGTAATTCAAACAAAGGCAGTGTAGTCAAAGTATCATGAAGATTTTGAACTGTGCGACTTCCTAGGTTTCATAAGTCGTAAACTAACATGATTGACATCATCTAAGACATTAAAAGACATGAACAATATATTAACAATTCATTATAACATGACTTCCAGTCAAAAACTTCGACCATTTCTAACTGGACAACATTATCGCCTCGTTCACATGACCACAACTTTGCCGCGACGATCGTCTTCAGTCTCAGCATTGGATATTGTTTCAGCATTAAGCAACATTTTTTCCACAACTTCGTGAATAAAACCAAAGTTTTGATGGTATGAACCCACAATAAGATCCGTAATCTCCCCAATATGCTTCTGAGCTACTTGCTCTGACTCGAAATCCGACACTTCAGGAGTCAATTCGATAACCATTCGATTTAAACAGCCATGAATAAAATTGTTTGAACTGCTAGCACCTGCCAAGACTCCACGGTAAAATTCAAATGTCGAACATGTACTCCATCCTTTTTCTCGCAGACGCACGAGCACTGAGCCATCAATTTCCACGTAGCTCGTCCATACAAAAATAACACGATTATTCTCAAAATATCGCTTAAAAACGGATCGTTTTGTGATGTTGATTTGTCGTGCTTTTGGGAGCTCTAGAGTCTCGCGAATGATGAGGTTAGAACAGTGCGCTTGAGCCTGTTTTATTGCTGAACGATTGTGCATACAATTCCAAATTGCATGATGAAACGATTGCATCGAAAATGGAAGTAGTCGAGCCTCTTCGTGTCGAAATGAAATGCCATTGGCTTCACGTTTAAAGTCAAAACCTCCACTCAGTTGGTGAAGCACGTTCGTGAGTCCATTGGTCGTCAACACTGTATTTACCTCGCCAAGCTGCTTGTCCACACTGGCATTAAGCTGTGCAAAGATATCATGGTCTGTCCTGTTCAGCGCACGTCCAACACCATTGATTATCGAATGTCCAGTTTCTCTCTGATGTTGAGAAATTGCTGCTTCCATCACACGCACCACCTCTAGCTGACCAAGTAATCGATTACGCAATTTACGGTTCTCTTCAAGAGATTTCTCAAACAAAAGTTTCTGTTGTTGTGCCATGTCTTTCCAATTTGAATTGATTGTGGTCAGAGCTGTCTCGTGTCCAACAGCAGTTGACGACGCATTGTTTGCTTTACTAAGAGCCTCCAGCTCTTCTTGCAATTCCATCACAGTCGCTCGCAAGTACTCAAGTTCGTGCTTCGGACGTCTGCGATTGCGGCGCTTGCACGTTGAGTATGGTTTCAATCGTTTATCCACCTTCTTTACTGGTAATTGCGAGTTCTCATGAAGGACTACACCCAGTTTCTCAGGCGGTATCTCAACCTGATCTGAATCTTCCGAGAATAGTTTTTGAATTTCGAGTGACAGCTCCATCGATTTCATTGCTTCATCGAAGGAATCAGGTGCATTCTCATTCATCTCAGGATCAACTCCTACCACAAGAGGAGAGCCCGAAATTTTAATCGGTGTCGTCTCACTCTTCGAGAAGAGCGCTTCTATAAAGGCGTGATCCATAAACTCAAGGTTCACGAGGATTGGAAACTGCTTTAAATTCGAAATGAATTGGTTCAGTGCATTCAAGATTGTATGATTACGGCACGCGACAGGTGATGTGCAAAGCACAGGAAGGAGTAAAAATTGAGCATCGTCTTGGCTCTTCTAGTGTACTGGACTGTCCAGTTTCTCAACTTCACACCGGCGCTCTTTATGATAAATCTCAAGCTCTTGTACCTTTCAAGTACATTTGCCACATCGCAGCTCAATAACCTTCGACTAGAAACAACTAATGTATCAGAAGTGCGTGTAGGACACAATACAGATCTCCTGACGTCATATTACACATGTTTTCTATGTGTATGTAGAAAACAGCAAATGGTGGAAGGTGGTAGAGAGCTAGCTATGTGTAGATAAAAGTAACACTACTAGTCATATCTTTGGACTGCTTAAGTACTTACGATATACGATTCTCGAAACGTCCTTCCGCTTAGAACTTCCTCTTCTTTTTAATCTTGAATGCAAAATCCACTAGTGCCTTAGTTCAAGCACCACTGTCGCACCACCGCACACATGTCGTGCTTGTACGTGCTCAGGTTATAACGTATTTTGTAGAAGAGGCTGCGATTATAGTGGACAGTCAGATGTGAAGCTGACGATCATGACATGCTTTTACTCGATAGCTAAGAATGGATTACTTTTTTTCACCAGAAAGTCCAAATTGGACTAGTTATGCCAATACATACTGGGGATACAGAAAAAGAAATCATAAAAGAATATAAGTCATCAATAGCATGACTACAGTGAGCGGTTGTAACTAAATTGCTATCGGATTGTAAAGGAAATTAGATTCGAAAAGTTTCTTACTAGATATTGGAGGATGTGGTACACTCATGAGAAGCTTTTATACATATGAGAAGTTTTTGGCAGACGTAAGCTAAACGTTACATCGGTTAATCGTAATTGTACATTAGTAGCATAGCACATACTAAAAACAGACGAGAAAGGTTGGAAAGGATATTATTGAAAAGATTCAGCGAACAGTATGGAGTAGAATACAAATCTCAACTCGGCTTCTTAAACTATCATTACTTCTCCCCCCACTCGCATGGTACGACGGAACATATGCACCGGCTCAGACATCAAACTCAATAAAGGAGAGATAACAGGACCGATCGAAGAAGAACAAAGTGTGAAAGGAGGTTTAAGTATCTATCATGTGTTCTCTGTGTCTTTGTACTGTAGAGAGAAGCCAAAGAACTTACGATATGCCTCTTTCTGACTACAATATCGACTGAACTGAATTTAATACCGACCATACAGCTGGTAGATGCTGATGCAATGCCTTATGAATCATGAACAAATGCAGTCAGTAAGTGGTCCGACATTAGGTTCCCAGCACTCACAACTTGTCCTGTTGTTAGAATTATCATACAAAGCTAAAATATACATGAATGACATCTATCAAAGCTTCTAAGAATCGGGAAAGAATGACAGAAGAAGAGAATGAAATCATTGCAGAAGTATATCCGTCTTTTCTATAAATCACAATTGCCTCATTAATCCGAGATTTGTCCACTTCAGGAATTTCAATAGCCGTCTGCAAAATCTAAATGTCCCGTAATCAAGTCGTTCGAGAAAAGCAAAATCTTCTAATTACCAACGCTGTATATTGTATCCCCCACCGTACTCGTCAAGCTGAAGAAAACTCGGTGTAACAGGGTACGTTTACTCTCCGTCGGACTTAAAGTGAACCTCAAAGATACCGGGTCCAGTACCGTGTTCACGATCTTGTACTAGGTACGATGGACGTATGATGGTCATTTTATCATTATAGATGAGATCTTATGTACTATCTACCTATTTTAGATAATTCAATTGGAAGTACTTAACCCACAGGATTTACGGGCTCTTGGTCCCAGAAGGATGGCACAATTGGCAACCTAAGACCCAAAAGCGGATATCGATCGCTTGGAAGAAAAGGAAGTTTCAAGATGATAGTACCGAGAATTTCACGGATCCTTAGAGAGCGAAACCGCTTCAGTTTAATGTTTCTCCAATGACAGTAATAATGAACAAAGAAATCTTCTGGTACATCGAGGTTAAAATGAAGCAAGATCACATTACTCGATCTTTTCTCCGAACGGATTAATGGTAGGTCACGCTAGTTTAGGAGGTCGCACTAGGCTAGGAAGTCGCGTTCGCAATGAGGAGTTCGGAAGCGAATTTTTGCTTCCCGACAAAAAAGGCAATCCTAAGTTGTAAGCACTTTAACTACAGATGTTGTGAGTCTAAGCATCAAGACCTTTTTAAATTTCAAGAGAAGTTTGAATCCGGAAACTAAGCCTACGAGCCAAGACTTACTAGCCAGGACGGCGACTGAATATTGTCTCGAATAGGAGTCAGTTGCCCTGTTCACTAGAGTCGCCATGCATGTGCGGCTGCAACGAAACCTCCCGCATACATCCATCATCTTGGGAAAGCGCATCGCATTATATATGTAGTAGGATCTCAGATCCGCAAGGGTTGGTTGGGCGACGAAGATGAAGCTCTATGAGGGCGCCAGAATCAATTATATCTCAGCCAAGCTGGTATAAAAATAAGAGCTGAGGAGCGCATTCTCATTGCAGGTGTTCTACATACCAGACATTAACGTCTTGTGCGTACCCTCCGCTTTAAATTGAAAAGGTAATTTTTTTAAAAATCCAGCCATAGACCAATATCAGAAAAATGTCGAGGCTTAGCACCAACTTTGGAAGAATTATCTCGTCTATCTAACTTTTCCAGGGAAAGAGAGGGATTTACTTTCCAGGTTTATTGGTCGTTGAAATCAACGTACCATTTTATTTGGATCTGTGAAAAGTCAAATCGATCCAGGGCGTCGTGTAATTAAGAGCGATGTACAATTGTTAAAAAAATGAGAAATATGCGATAGCATTATTTGATCCGACAACAGACTCTATAACCGCGCGTCTTGCGACGGAGGCACCGCAAGACATTCCTAAATTATAAAGACTTGAATGGCGTAGAACGAGGTTTGTCATGAACCTTGGTACGAAATACAATGTCATCGTGTGTGTAGCTCGGCCATAAAGCCACAAGCCATCAATCAACTGGAGGTCTGTAACGAGATTACGCGTACCCTGGTATACAGGGGTGGGTCACACAATATTGTGTGACCACACAATGGTTTGGCTACCTGTTAATAAGAAGCCGCTACGTGGCGAGACTGCCAGTAGTTATGCATTTCAATATGGTTTTATAATTTAATGAGGAAAACTATAGATTTAGATATAGGCGGCCACCGCAAATAAAACAGACAAAATAGAGCTTATATTTTGAAGTGAAGAGATTATTTGGTTTGGGTTAAGGGTAGTCTTGGAGGTAGCGGATTGCGATCCGCTACACTCGCACTGGTTCTAGAATAGAACATAAGGTCGGTGACCTTAGCTTAGCTTTCTCTAAGCAAAGAGCTATGGCAGTCCCGCTGCACTTGGTAGCACTTGTAGTCAATCTACACCTCAGTACGACTGATCGTTTGTGGGGATAGAGCAGTTCTCCTATTTTCCCCAGGGCATGCAGGACGGACGTAAAAATCTGACGTCCCTGCTTGGCTCTGAGACGGTGCAACACCTTGCTTCGCAAGGATCTGAAGCGATAGGTGCACGCTCAGAGCTGTTTTCGAGCTATGAAAATGCTCTGCTAGAATATCTACAGCAATATCTGTCGGCGTCGATTGCGTCCTCGATGCCACCATAGACAATGGATGACTCATTCCGAGTCAGGCCGCTCATGGTGAGCGTTAAGACCATTGAGGGTAAGGATGATTAATCTCTGGGTAAAAGAGGCCGAGATGGTTATGGAATTCACCATGCTGCAGAATGAGCAACAGCGCGTGGCGCTAGCTATCTCCAAGCTTGGTGGTCGAGCGCGGGAATTGGTACTGACGTGCGGTTCTTTGGTTGAAGCGGCGTTTCCCTCCTGGACGTAGCTGAAGCTGCAGCTTTTAAGAGTGTTCTGGATGCCTAAGCAGGAATATCGCGTGCGATCGCGTTTGACTGCCGCCCAGCAGCGCAAGAAGGAATTGGTGGGCTTTGTTCCAATAGTTGCGTACCCCTCATTGCCGGGATGGCAGCTGATCTTCTCCCACAGTAACCGTCTTAATGGAGGGTCTCCGTACTGATGTGGTCAGAATGGAAGTCTTCTGTGTGCATTCGTCTTCTTTGGAAGGTGGTGAATGCGGCATTAAATGACGGGTTAAACTTTTAGTCGGCACACCCTCATAGCTCGTCGAGGGACATGAGCCAATGGATCTCAGCTATGCTGAGAATGGGGGGGATCTCCGAGCTGCCGGGCAGCGTTCAAATACCCGAAGGTGTTTTGTCTGTGGAGACACCCGTCACCTTCGGACTGGTTGTTCCCTGCACAAGGCGCGTCAAGGTTCATCAAACCGACGTCCCATTCTCACCAGTCTGGTATGTCGCGGGGACACGTAAGTTGCCAACCTCACGCAATGCGTCAAATTTGGCTAATTAATTGTAGTTGGTGAAGCATGAGCCATATCCATATCTAATAATTTAAGTTAGAAATATGTGAGCAAGTGAATAATATTAGGCTAGTGAGAGGTTCTCGATCCCGAACTCTATAAGTAGTCATCCTCTGTGTGTTGGTAAAAGCAAAAACCGAACCACAAATTACCGCTAGCCGAGTGCATAGAAACTAAGTTGCAGCGATAGTCAGCAATGACATCTTTGGGGCTTTCAATAAGGCTTGGAATCTGTGAGCTGCGGTCTCAAGTACATACAAAAAAAGGAAAAGTGTTAGGCAGGTGGCTGCGGGATTCATTAATGTTCATACGAAAGAAATCAATCAAATTTCAAAGCCCCAGTTTTATACGACTTGAGATAAATTCGAGCAGCTTGAAAATGGTGGATACCAAATCAAATTTTGTTGAGGACAGGCGCCTGGGAGTTAAGATTTGTAAAGAAAACTAATAGCTATTCAACATTGGAGTGACTCGTCCATGGCGCAGAATGTTAGACAACAACGCTGAGTGACGGAACCATCGAAGCATCACAGTCCTGTTACAACCAACTCAATGAACTATTACTAATCTAGCGCGTTGAAATAGCAGTCTTTTATCATCTCGCCAGGCAGTATTTTTTGTAGAACTTAATGCTGCCTTTATATCGAGTTATATGATATACGATCGATCTAATCTCTGGACAAGTGAACACCATTAAGGAAACAATACGATGCTGCTACGTGCCCAGCATAGATCGAGTTCGATGACCGGGTACATTTCCTCGCTCAGTGCTTACTTGTTCAAAATTGGAGAGGTCAAGCGGCGAATCGTGCCGGCTCGAATACAATGGTTGTCCCCATCAGTACTGCTCCATCCACAAAAAGGGGCGTTTTCCAAACATAGAGACTTGTGACTTGGCGTCTTCACAACGAGTATTTGATATTATGAACGGGCCACCCTCCATTTTCCAAACTCCCAAAATTTCAAGTAAGCTCTCTGGCAAGACTGTGTTTGCGGCCTTGACACTGATAACTTGGTAAGATGAAGCTTCATGGAGCGCAACACGCTTTCCAATAGAGTATGGGTCCCGGTCATGTAATAAGTTTAGACTTCGTCCGTGGCAGTATTAGCAAGCGGACGGGTATGAGTATGGCTGATTTCAGCATAAGGACGAGCTCCCATCACAACTTTGATGTGGTTTCAAAAAAGCCAAAAATCAGCAATGTGTCAATTGATTGTTGCCATCTTTGAAATTTGCTCGTTATTTCGCAACACTGGAACGGCGATGAGTCTTCTATTCCCACTTCTCAAGTCAAATCATATTATTCTCGATACTGTCACTGCTACTGATTTGGATGTAAGCGATACTCCTCAAAAGTGCGCTCTGTAGGATCACAAAGTCTCGCATATGCGTATCACCCTCAGACTGAGCTACAGGACCATGTGCGAGGGCACCGCATTCATTTTGAATGAGGCTACCAACGATATCGTTACGATTTGATGTAGTCATCGTCAGCCTCATTGAAGGTTGCTTTGACTCATGCGCAATCAACGAAAATAATGATTTAAAGAGCGGTTAGGTTCAGCAAGCTTAGAGGATGTCCTGGCTCAAGAGCTTAATGGACTTCACCAAAGCATGTGCCGATCACTATCTGAGCAATGCTAGCTCTTTCAAAACGGTCTCAAACGCATCATCATCCCCGTAAAGGGGAAAGTGATTGCTTTTCGCTCGAAGAGCGTACGTTTTATACCTCTTACGCGATGGCAAACGTGATCACTGCGACGTTCAAGCCTAGAAAAAGCTCCAATCGAAAATTAAAACGAACGTCATCGAGCCATTGAGAAAGGTGTGTGAGAGAGAGAAGTTGGGATCGATGAGACACTTTAAATATTCTCATTTGAGAAGTACTTGTCTTATTTACTGGCTGAGGCCTTCATGATGTCGGCCACAGGTGCTGGTCCGTCTGAACGACTCAACGAGCTTTGGATTTTCAAGCCATTGAAGAAAATTTTGCTGTGTATTATGCTCGTAGAGCTCACTTTGAGGTGTTATTATTGTTGGCCTTCGACGAAGCACATTTTTTGTTAGCAAATATGAGGCGGGATTCTTGGTGTGCTTCATGCGGATGGAGCTCACTTTGAGGTGTGTTTGTTGTATTCATCACGGTTCCGGAACAAGAATGAATACGAATCTACACGACTACTGCTGCAGTCAGCGGAGGCATTACCCCTTAAATGTAGCGTCAAAAAGCCTTCTAAGTGGAAATTTGCGCTCGTTTTGCTCTTACCATGAGCTAGAGAGCCACATGTATAGGTGTGTAAGGGATCCCAACGTGGTGGACAACTTTAAATGGTTCGAGACCATAGTAATGATATCGGAAGGAGTCATTGCGACTTCTGTTATTGTAATTGTCAAACAAGCTGCCGAAGCCAGGCCCAGCTCAAATGTGACGGCGAGCCGTCGTCGTGAGCTCCGTGGTGGGATTTCGCGACATTTTTTGCCGTGAAGAATGGACACGAAGATCTTCACCTGGACAGGGTGTCTCATCCATTGCGAAAGGCTTGTCCCTTAGTCTTCAGTTGAATGAGGAGGTCTCTGCTGAGGACTCGCGAGATCGTTGCAATTGTTATCGTTAAAAACGGATCTGGCCTTAACCGATAACAGCCTTGATTTCTTTATTCGCAAGGACATCGACATTCTCGGAGGCACACTGAGCCATGTGATGTAATGGGTATGGGAGAGGATTTCAATTGCGGAGAAGTTCTAGGGTGCAAAGAGTGGGTTCCCATTGAGCGATTACACTTTTCTCAAAATGGGAGGTACATGGTGTGGTCCACCAATTTATAAGTAAATGTATGATTGTGTACATACACTTTGCAATTCAGGACAATTGTACAATTAACAACCGTGTGTAATTGTACGAAACTCACATTACACTTGTGATTGAGATACCAAAGCATTTTTACTAATGAAGAGGATGAATCTCCGTAGAGGAGAGGGCCGTGATACACATGGACTGTTAAACTCACATCACATAATGTAGGAAGTTATATATCAAAAGTATCAAATTGAATAAAGTTCGTCCTGAATGTATGCCTTTCGATCTCAATATCGGGTGGAGCGTTCCAGTTCAACCCTGTAATTTGTATACGTTTACTCTTTGAGTCAGTTTTTTCTGTGTAAGATGCGTGGGTTACCCCAATTGAGCAAATAAGGTTCTTGTTATGATATTATAGGGACGGATGGTGAATCCATCTTCTGCGTTAGTCAACGTGAACTCTACATGAATCTTCGTCTTCATTGCGCTAGAAGAGTGTGTACAGATCCCTCACCTTATAGTGGTATTCAACTCTTGTACAAGCGAAACTCTTAAGTAGCATGATAAAGTGCAATGTGATGGACTTCTGAAAAGGGAGGACGTGGTTTGTTATAAAGCGCTTCATTATCATTTCGAATGATTTCCAAGATTTTCTGTAAGAGTCTTATGTATGAATATATATATCCAGTCTTACACTTTTTAATATTTAGGGTCAGACCCTTTTAATAATATAAGCGTTCCACAAACTTCCATTCACAACTAAGAAATTCACTGCTAGTTATCTACACGTTTTACTTCAGCAAACACTGATCTAGTCCCGACAAAATTCCCATTGAAATCCCCGTGTAAAACATTCTACGACGCATGAGAATATAGGCAAATTTACTTGGCAGTGGCTCAGCTCCAAAACCAATAAGACATTCCATTGCATAAGTACCCGTGTACTCCGTTTTCGAGCTACCATTTGGTCGTCGTTTTTGGCGAGGCGTTAAATGTGTTGGATTAATGTTAAACAAGACATTGCGACTGACTTCACCGAGCTTTTCAATCGGCACCGGAAATGGATTAAGCAACGCTTTTCCATTGACATACAAAAATTCTGCTACACTGTCCTGTACTGGCATGTACTGGACAATACTTCCACAAAGTGAATCGTTGTGCTTTTCCATATCTCTGTTTGTAGAGGACGAAATGTCACCAACGCCCCAGGGAGAAAAAAAATATTCTTGCTTTGCCAATTCAAAGGAAATCCAAAACGTTTCTTTATCTCCGTATGAAAACTCTCGAATGAATCGCTGCTCAGTAATGAGGTAGAACATAACATTTATAGCTTGACCAGCTCGTGATTTATCAATGGCAACAAGAGATGAGTCTTGTTCATGCGACGTTTGACGAGTCCAAACAAAAGATGTATTGGGATCTAAATGGGGTGATGGAGATAACCCTGGTGGTAAGCCGTAATGTTCGTAATCAAAGGTGTTCAAAAGATGTTGAAGATACTGTGTACCATTGATATCTTGATTGAAGAATTCGTTGCTGGAAAGCACGCGATCATAAAAGAATGTCGTGCCTGTACGTTCGTAGCCTTCAGTGGTACGCAAAACTGCCGGATCGCGCATAAAGATATCATCGACATCCAAAAGTAGCACCTCTTTGATATGCGTATGATACATAGCCAGCGGTTTGATCCACCAACTTCGAAAGTGGCGAGCTTTATTCTCTGTAAGAAGTCCACGTTGAACAAGATCCGAACATGCATCCACAATTTCTAAATTCTCATCAACTTCCAGTAGTAATGAGATGGAACTGTTTGAGATTTCGTCTCGAAAGCAATGATATACCTGAATAAGCTCTTGATTTCCAAGACATCGGAGCTCGCGTACGAGCGACAGTCCCATTGGAACGGATTCATCATTCATACACATAATAATTCCTTTGTCTCTTGGTTCAGATATTTCTTCCAGCCGAAGTGCCGTTTTCGTTTTCCAATTTGCTCGAGTGATTGTGTTCACCTTTTTTGGCGAGGTCTGCTCAAGGTGTTTCGTGACGAATGCGATGAAAAAAAGTAAACCGCCAAGGAGAAAAATATATACAGCATACATCCACTTCATTGATCTTGTCTTAACACGTCGAGCAGGAGCTTTCGCATGGCAAGAAAATGAATCGTCGGAATTCTTTCGGTGAGAAACATCATTTCCAGCACGATTTATCAACACGCTGCCTTCTGACATAATTTTTTTCAAATGTCGTCTTTCGAAAGGCGTGTATGTTAGATGATAGAGAGGTTACAACATCGCCGCTGGAAATATCTGACGATAGATCGTAACTGCTTTAGTCAAATTTGATTGATTTGAGGATTGTATTGTTCTACTAGCAAACTCTATAAATAGTATGTTTTTTATTAAAAGAATATGTACATTATAATATTTGAAATGTTAAAAGTATGAATTGTAAAGTGGGTTATAATTTGGGGGTAGTGTGCTACGACGGTTGTGACAATGGAGCCGTCAGATGCTACCTTGAGCTCGCCAACTTTTGCAGCGCGTGTTAGTCCTGGTAACATCCGCACACTCATTTTAGAAAAGGAAAAAGAGTTACATGACATTAATGAGTATCGAATTCGCACATTAGAAGCACTCTTACGAGACAAGGTACAGCAAAGGTTACTGGAGTTTTTTGTCAAATGCCAAAGTACTATTTTGAAAAACTATATTGATAATTGTAGGAGATCACCACTTCTGCTGCGAAACAAAAGCTGAGTAAGCTACAAGAGGATTTCAAGTATAATTTAAAACTATTGGAAGGACGAGATGAAGAGTTAGCATTGTATGATACCAACTTTGCCAATTTAAAAAATGTATTACGGGATCGTGAAATTGAGTTGAGTGAAAGCAAAGTGCGAGAGGCTGAAACTCAGGCAGAATTAAAGCAAATGAAACAGAAAGCAAGCGATACGGAAGTAATTTATCAGCAAAAGCTTAAAGATGCTCGAGCTCAAATTGAGGGCGCAAGATGGAAGTTTGACGATGCATTGCGACATCAAGAAGAAGCGATGGAGTCTTTGAGACGGAAGTTGGAACGATCGATGAATGAGAAAGAAGAAGAAATGGATACTTTACGAAGGGAGTTGACTGTAACATTTGATGATTCAATGAGAAAGCGGGAAATAGAATTCCAACAAACAAGTGAAGAACTTAAAAGTCACTTAAGAGAAGTCGAGTTATCAAATAAGGCGTTAGCAAGAGATATCAATGTTCAACGCGATAAAGTTGAGGAATTGACGATAAAGAATGAAAATATACAGCAATTGCTTCGGGATAAAGAGAAGGAATTGAAATCAATTGAATGGACTTCAGCGGATGTAAAAGCTGCAAAAGATGTGAAAATTGGGGAATTGGAGAACGAAGTCGCCAGATTAAATGAAGTTAAGCAAAATTTGCTGGATGAGTATGAAAAGAAAATGGCTGAATTGTTGCAGTCGCTGCATGCAGTAGAGAAGGCATTTGTACACCAAAAGAAGCAATATGAAGAGGAACTACAGAAGGAAATAGGGCGGAAGAAGTTCGAGTTGAATGACTCGAACTTTCGGTATGAAGCAAAGATAGAAAATTTGGTTGGAAGGCTGGGTGAAAGTGAAAAACGGGTAGAAGCACTTCAAGCTGAATTGAAACAAGCTAAGTGGGATGCAGATGATAGAGCGATGGAAAAAGAGCGTGAAGTGGACCGTGTGAAGAGCGCGTTACACGAACTGGAAGCTGAGCAAAATCATGTGAAAAATGAGCTGCAAAAGCAACTTCGTGCACAGGATCGAGAGATGCAGATCCTTCAGGAAACTCTGCACGAATCGCAACGGCAAATTGCTTTACTAAAAGATAAAGACAAGACACAGCGTGACGAACTGCTTGAGGGTATAGAAAAGCAAGAAGATCTACAGCGCGAGCTTCGTTTTGTTCAAGAACGTTGGGAAAAGCGGTGGGAACAACAGCAACAGGAACTGGATGAGCGACATGACCTTCAGATTCGTGAGTTAAAACAAGCAAAACAGCGCTTGGTGAGTCAAAAAGAAGCTGTTGAGAAGCGGTTAGCTCAAGCAGAAATGGAGACGCAACGACTTTGTCGTGAGCTGTCTACTCTTCAATCTAGTGCTCGTACATCTGAGTCAATTGGCTCACAGTTCGTGGCATCAAAGGCCAGACATAAAGGAGACGCACATCATTCATCCGACTCAGTTCCTGTTGCTCCCTCACCACTTTGGAGTGACGATCCAGGCACCTTTTCTCCAGTTCCTGGAATGTCGCCATTGCTTACAGACAGCCCTCAAATACGAGGTAAATCTGTGGCTGGCACCAGTGCGAATTCATTAGAACTTGAAAATGCGAAATTGCGCGACATAATTCGCCAAATGAAAGAATCACTTGCTCATCAAGCTGACAAGATGGAAGCATCACCAGGGCATTCCAGCGGAAGTCAAACTACCTCCGATCTTACCGCACAGTTAAAAGAAACACAAGAACGCTGCGTCGCACTTGAAACAAAGCTAAATGAGAACAACAAAAATGGTCTTAATTTGCAGCTTGAGAGTTGTAAGCAAGAGCAGTTAGAAGCACAACGAGTTATCGAAGCAAAAAACACGCAGATTGCAGAGTTTGAAAATCAAATACAAAAGCTTGAGGAAGCGCAAGTTGCAGAATCAAATACGCAAGCGGCTCAAGTGACTGATTTGAAACGAAAGCTTGAAGCTGCCAATTCTGATATTGACCGTCTTGTTCGCGAACGCAGCCAGTTGATGGAACTAAGCAACCAGCTCCGAGCTGACTTGCGTCGAATTGGATCTGAATCCGGATCAAAACCATCAAAAAATCGAATGGACTCTGCTGGTGAACGTGACCAGGAAAGTATCATTGCAGATCTCACGCAATCGTTAGATGAGGCTCGTATTCACAACAAGACGCTGAAGAAAGAACTTCGTCGCATGGTCAAGGCACACGTACAACTCCAAGAGGGTCGAGAGATTGACGACAGAGGCACAAAGATCAAAGAAAGTGAGCACATTCCAGCAGATCCTGAAAAACGGCGATCGAGTACTTTATCGATGATGAAGGCGCTCAATTCTGGATCTTCTCGACCAAAGCCTCAAGCAAGTACAACGATACGCTTAGTACTTGATCGTGTAAACGATGAGGTGACTAAGAAAAAGGGTTCGGATGAAGAGGTGCAAGGTCCGGTGCAAAATAAACGATCGAGTACTCAAAGTCAAATAGCGGAAGCATGTGATAAGCCATTATCAAACTCAGACCATGAAACGGAGAGTAATGTTAAGGCGAGTAATTCGACTGGAAATGATAATGAAGGTCGTTTTCTGGAAAATGAACATCAATCTTCAAAGAGAAAGAATATAATCGAAGGTCAAAGAGGAAGTGAAAAGGATATCGTGATGATCGGCAGATCTAGCTCGAAAGTCACAGATGCTCGATTGAAGTTACAACAAGCGAAGGAAATGCTTTTATTATCTGGTAAGCGAGCTCCAGTTGCGGGATCTCGTAGTACTTCTACAACTTTATCTGCAGCAACACGATTGAGTGATCGCGAAACAAATAGCCAGCGATCTGCTGTCAAAAAACTTCAGCAAATGCAGTCGAAACGAGCTGAAATGGCGACTGAACGCAAGAATGTGCGGAATTACAATCTAGCGTAAAGATTTGAGTTTACGAAGAAGATGGTCTCTGAGTCTTTGAAGGATCTTTCTGTTTTCTCGTCCTATTTAAATTTAACATTTTAACACCATAGAGAATTGATAGCTACCTTTATTTCTATCGTTACCTTCACCAATCGAATAATTTCTTGCCGAGAAGATGAAGAATTTATCACATAACAAGTATAATATCCAAGCGTTTGCCATTCTACAAAAAGTAATCTGGCGTTCGACGTGAAACATGGGGCTCTCCGCGGCGTGGCGCTGGGTCAAATTGTAAGCTAAAATACGAAGTAAAAATTAGAGATAAAATGACAATGTATACTCCTCATAAATATCCATCCTATACGTACAATGTATACTGCATCTGTTCGTCAACTTCCATAATTGCGGCTTCATTTCCGCATCGATAACAGTAATTTGGTGCACTAAAAATAGTCACGACATTACATTTATGCGACCAATTGTATCCCTCCATAACTAGCTGATGGGCTCTAGCAATTAGTGTAAGACCATTAGCGTGATTAAATTGGTCCGAAATATCTTGTCCAAAAGTGTACCCCGCTCCTCGCGGAGATATACCCCATCCCGACCGATCATCTGGATCCGACCATAAAAGATCGCACATTGCTCCTTCATGTGGTACCTCTTGTAGTCGATCAAATCCACGAATGTAATCAAGTGTATCAATTGATGGCGAAAGTCCTCCATGAAGACAAAAGATTTGATTCTCAATGACTGCAGTTAATGGTAAATAATCGAAAACGTCCGTAAAGTAACGCCAGACATTTGGACTACCATATTTGCGAAGACATTCGTCGTAAAAGCCATATACTTGTGTAATTTGACGACTTTCATGGTTCCCACGCAGAATAAACACACGATCTTTGTATCGCACTTTAAGACATACAAGTAATGTGACTGTCTCGACGCTATAGTAGCCACGATCGACATAATCGCCCATAAATAGATAGTTTGTGTCTGGTGCATGGCCACCAATGCGAAAAAGTTCCATAAGATCGTGAAATTGGCCATGAACGTCACCACAGACAGTCACAGGACAGCGAACGGGCTGGACATTCGATTCCTGTACTAGAACCTCCTTAGCCTTGGAACATAATTGCATCACCTCATTTTCTGTTAATGGATTACAGCCAAGAAGCTTCTCACACCACGTATCTAACGTTTCGATAGACAAGTCGAACGCTGCTGAGCTCATCTTGCCGTGCGATACAAATAGAAAACAATCCTTTTATCCGCCCCTTTGGTGGGTCGTTGGGGAATATCTTAAGCTTAATTTTTAACCACTAAATAGACTGATTACAATAGTGACACTATCTCTATAGGCATCTATTGTATTAAATTTAGTTAAGGATGGCAATTTCGACATCTAAAAAGTCTTGTATTCTATTGCTGCCACTGGCGTGTCTTTTCTTCAAGAGCCAACAACGCATTTTCGATTCTCCATGTAATGGCCGAGTATAATGCTTTTTCACGCTCTTGTGTCTCCCATGAAAAGTCACCCGTTACACGATCGTTTGCATACTGTTCAAATAGATCGTCAAAGGAAAGTGGTTCACCTACGATCACTCCGAGATGAAGATTTGTTTTAGGAATGATACTGATGAGTCGATTCTTGTCGTCTTGTGGCATGAGTTTTTCCATATTGTAATGGTATAATGGCACTACGATCGGCCGTGTTGTTGCACGTGCGATGAGCTTACCCACCCCCCATTTAAGTCGTCCAATCTCTTCACGACGTGGACTTGGTCGACCACCAAGTGCTAGTTTTGCAAAAAACATTTAGCTACACAATCATTGACAAAATCAACTTGGCTTACGTTCGTCCTGTACGATCTTGCCTTCAGGAAAAATGTGTACCCATGCACCCTCCTCTACTTTTTCAAATAATGCTCTCATCATCTTTAAAATAAACGACAGAAATCATCAAAAATAACGCTAATGATCAAGCTACATATCCAACACTGTACCGGATGATCGACACCACCTCCTCGTTTAATCGGCAGCGACTTTGCCCCAAAAAATACAGCCGAAACCACTTTTCCTTTCGTATAACAATATTCCTGGCTATATACAATCATATATTTTCAAAACTTGATCCCAGCACTTTCAATCATATCATTCGCACTCTTACCTTGCCAAACTCCATCGTCCACTTCGTGGCCACATAAATTTCCACGGCATCATACTGCAAACAATAACAATACCTGTGTAAGTACCGTTGTCAAAGCTCTTTTTCCAATACTATTCGTAAAAGGTATTCATATTTACTTGGCAAAGATAGCTGGATCATCCACTGTGGCAGAATGATTTGACACTGTGATAACGGATGTGCCTTTGGGTCGTTGCTCCAGCTGCTTGACTAGAATTTCCACACCCTCTACCTTCGTACAATTCAATAGCTGCAGGCAGATTTTAGAGCCTAACGTTACGACACCAAACAAAGGAACGCGCGCAATGTCGTGAAGCCATTCCGGAAAAATCTCGCGACGCCGTCCGCCGTCGTAGTGACCGTCATCCATATCTGCCATCGGTGCATCCACGTACAACGCCACGGTTCCCATACCTACGGATAGAGCTCCAATACCGAAAATCTTCCGAGATAGCGTTCGCTTCGTACGTGAGCTGATGAGGGGCAGCATTATGGTTGCTGAAGTCGATGGAGCGACTCACACAGTGGATTCGGTGGATGTGTTTACTTAAGATAGAAAGCAGTTTTTTTTGCTTAGTAATTTTTTTTAATTAACAACGAATGTGAGATATTTGATATTAATTTAGCGCTGTTAGATCTAAGCAGCTGTCAAAAAGATACTAGCAGTGAGATATATACAATTGCAGCATATGTAGCTGAATGAACTCGAATATGTTTTTGTGTAATGCTTGATCGATGGAATACCATACGCCAGAGCGTCTGTCAATCAATCTAATAACCACCATTTTTCGTAGCATAATAATAATGTAGCATCAATAGCTGTGGCATTGCCTCATGTTTCGATGTGCTTCAAGCCCTCGAACGTCTTTGACGTCTATTACATACACATGTGCAGCTTTCAGAAATCAATGTTCAAGCGCCTTAGGTTAAATTTATCAAAGTTTTTCTTTGTGAGCAGTGCGGTCGACGGCAATGATTTCAGATATCATTGAGTGATTCTAACGAAACCCTCGAGGAATCGATGGGCACCTCTGTAGGTGTACTGCGGTTTATAGGCTTTTAGAAAGCAGTACGAGGACTTGCACCTACTTGTGTTGCCAAGTAAGTGTCTCGGTCATTTGATGGTATCCATGAGGTACCGCTTTATTCCGGAAGATTTTGTCTGCACATCAAGAAAATAGCTAACTCAGGGATAGCGTTTCAGCTAATTCTAGGATTTAACCAATACACAAGTTTGGATGCGAGGTGACGGCAGTGTGGCACGCTTTAGTTGGCGGAGTTTTTACGAAGCGAGCCTTGAAGAAGATTTACGGATTATACGGTAGGCTTAGAGTAGCGAACAATTTGCCAACTAAGGACCTAACTATTTTGATTTGCATTTTTGCCATCTTCAGTTCAAGCGCATATAATCAATAGCTTCGAGCCCAAACTGCGCAGACTTTGCGTTTTTCGCCCTTATCATCGTCTTCACCTCGTCGAGTCATTTTTTTCAGTTCGATGGCACGAACTCCCATACGTGGAAGTTCACGACGCAGATGGTACTGTAGATGCAGGTCGTGAACGGAGACAGTGAAGCTAAGCGATTCAGTAATGCGCTGGACCGAGCGACTTTTAAACGGAAGACTTGCAAGGCACTAGCAATCATCGGTCTTGCGATCGAGAATTTGATACTGTCACTGGTATGCTCGAGTAAGGGCACGTACGATGCTTGGTCAAGACTGGAGGGAGATTTCAAAAAGAGGAGTCCGCGAAGCTCTTTTTTGTTGACGGTTCTACAGCGAAAGGCGACAGTGTGTAGGAGAGCATCAACAAGCTAATTACGCTATTTGATCAGCTGGTTCGGTAGGGGGGCTGTGAGATCGGTTGACCTGGTAATCACACTTCCTAAAAGATTCCGTACGATTTTCATAACACGGCACTGAAGTCGCGTCCCGAAACGCAAAGCTGGGCCCTGATGACGTCGCGTTTTCTTCATAGAAGAATGTGGCGCAAGGCGGCGACGGCGACGGCGCCGCGCCTTGCCAGGCGAGAGACAACAATCGTATAGGGCAACCAGAGAAAAAACTAAAGCGTGCCATAGTTGCAGCAAACAAGGCTGTTATATTGCAGAGTGCTCTATGCGAGTCCAAATAACTCTGCGCGGAATCGGTCTTGGAATACTAATATTGTCTATTTTAATGACCAAAGAGACTTTTTTAATTGGTGACGTTAAATATCAAACTAAGCGACATCTGACTGGTCGACTCAGGCGCGACGCAGCACATGTCGAGTACCAAGAAGTTCATGAGAAATTACAAGGGTCGACGTGCATGTTGTAGACTACAATGCGGCACGGCGGTGACGTAGTCATCTTGATAAAGACTTCGCGTTGAGTTGTAAGTATGTGCTTACAAATGTGTGGCACATCTCGAAGTTGTCGCGCAATTCATGTTGAGCTGGTCGGGTTACCACGGGCCGGTAATATTTGACAACAATGGATGTTCTGTGGAAACGAAAGGAGTAATGGAAAATTGGTTTTTACGAGTGAAAAGGATTGCTCAAGTTTCACATGATACCCGTCGCTATTGCAGAAGCGAATGTGGTAAAGTTTTGGCTGTGGGGGGACACCAATTCTAACCTCCGGCACCTTCGACTTGGTCACATCGGAGACGGTCAACGTATTGCGGTTGTGTAAGAATTGCCACTGGGATTCCGTTGACATTCTTAAGCTAGTCGCGGAGTGTGCACTGGGAAAATAAATGCGTGTACTTTTTCAGACGTTTTCGCCGGATCGGAATAGCGAGCTGCAAGAATTCGTGCATAGTGATGTGTGCGTCCCAATGCAGACACCGAATCTATCAGTAATCGTCATTCCGTCACCTTTCTAGACTAGAAGTCACTCGTCCACCTTACGAAGAACAAGTCGAAAGGTGAAGACAAGGTTGCGAAATTCCCTGCATTTGCTAAAAATCAGACCTGCGGGCAAGTTAAGACAAATCGTAGCGATAATGGCACACGTCGGACAATATGAGCAAGTTTTAAGTTTTCACTCCGCATACTCCTCAGCTTAATGGATTTGCTGAGCGCATGAATCAGACGCTTGTTGCTGCGGACGGCTCATGATGGAAAATGCTGGGATGTCTGAGGTACACTGTGGTGAGGCCGTGATGAATACGATGTTCTTCGTAATCGGTTTCCAACACGTTCAATTACCTGTAATAAGTCGCCGCACGAGTTTCGGACATCACATTAATTGTTTTGGGCCAAAATTTGACCCTTTGCATGCCAGACGTACATACACGTTCCACAATAAAACGCTCAAAAATGGACAAGCGTTCTGTGTCATTATCTTAAAACTAGTCAGAGCATCACAGGTCATACCGCTTTCAGGAAGTATCAACCAGAGTTACTAATTAGTCGCGACGCACACTTTCTGGGGAATATATTTGACAAGAGACACGAACGCGACAATGACGGCACAGGAAAACCTATTGAAGTTACAGACGAAGAAGACAAAGGTGTCACCGATGAAGACGTGGAGTAAAGCATTGAAGCTGACCATATACCAGAAGGTGGCCCGACTTCAAACCGGCGTTAAGCAGCAGTCGATAGATAGGATGACGGAAATTTCTCGGCCCAAGAGACATACGTCCTAGTATCAACGCACAACTTCAGTAAGAGATGTCAGGGCTAAGATTAATGACGACAACAAAGGGTTTGGGGCGACATACGTCATGTATTCAGCGTGAGAAATGTCGACGGCGTACAAGTCGGCGACGGAACTCGATGATGGAAGCAAACATGCGACTCTGAACTCGACTCACTCGTAAAGCACGTGACATGGGATATTGTTATTTTCTAAAGGGTCAGAAGGAATTTGTTGCCACTGGCTCTTTTGTGAAGGAGAGCCTAGTCGTCGGAATTTAGTGTTACAAGGCAAGACTTATGATCAAAGTTTTTTTTTCAAAAGTACGGTGAAGACCACGAGGATACTTTGCGCCAGTGGCCAATTTCACGTCAATTCGTATTGTGCTTAGCATGACTGCCAAGTTTGATGCCAGACCGCGTAATTTTTATTGGAGCTCTCGAGGCAATTACATCAGCTGCCAAAGGCTTTGGTGACTTCAGTCGGACTTATGATGTCTGCAAACTCAAGCGCTCATTTCAAGGTCCCAATCAGTCGTGGCGCATGTGGAACTAAACGATTGACAAATTTACGGTCGAGATGGGTGTTACGATGAGCAAATACGTCTAATGCATTTTTAGCAAGCGCAATGATAACAGCACGAATTTTGTGGCGCTTTAGGTTGACGACTTGATTATTGCTGATGGTGACGACGCTTGCTTACATCAACACAGCGAGCGCTCAGTAAACGATTAAAGATTAGTGACATTGAAAAGTAAAGGTATTTTCTTGGAATGAAAATTTAACAAAAATGCGATTCAGGTCAAGTGACAATGCTGCAAATCAACTTATAAATTGATAAGACTACGTTTTACACGCAGGAAGGTGAACCCGTGAGACCGTCTCAAGCTATTGGACTGAATTTGACGAGAAACATATGTGAAGGAGGTTGCAAGCATGCAGCGCAATGAAGAGCGTGCAGCACCAAGCTCATGTCGGCGGCATCATGTACTCGATGGTAGCCACGTGTCCAGACCTCGCTACAGCGGTCGGAGCTTTGGGTCAGTTTGCGGCTGATCATGATCGACGCACTAACAAAATCTCAAGCGTATACAGAAGTATTTATGCACAACCTAGACTCCTGAACTTCTGTTTTCAAGGAACTGTGCTGCAGCTATAGAAGGCTTCTCAAATGACGGCTGGCAGGAGTCATCAAATCCCGCCGAGGCACGATGTGCTATGTCTTTGCCATGAACAACGAATGCGCTTGCTGGTGAACCATGAAGCAGTGGGCGTTTGCATTCAACTACTAAAGCGGAATACACAGCTTTGTCGGGGCAGTTTGGCATCAGGTGTTCTGCTTAAAGAAGTTGCTGATGATAAGTCCATCAAGAACGTTGAGCAGCCAATACTCAATTAAATTGGCCAAAAATCCCGAGTTTCACGGGCGTACCAAGCATACTGATATATGGTATCACTTCAAGCGCGAAAATGTTGAAGAGGGCTAAGTGGTGTTGTAGTATTGACCAATGTAAGGCATGCTGACTGACATCATGAAAAAGACAATTTTTGCTGTGCAGTTTGTATCGCCTCGTGGCCGACTTAAAATTCAGAGTACAGAAGCTATCGAGTCGAGTAGGAGTCCTGCCAAGAACACACTCAAACTCTCAAAGGTAAACGGTGGGCATCATTTAAAATAGGAAAACTTTGTCTGCGTATCATAAGTATGATACATTTAGAGATGACGTCTCAGCTTATTGCAATGTTTAAGCTCGGATAAGCAGGGCCCAAGTTCGGATGGACGGCGACGTGGCACGCTCCAACCGGCAGATATTTTTCAAAGCGAGCCTCAAATAAGATTTGAGAAAGAGCGGTAGGCTTAGAGCAGTAACAATATGTGAATTGAAAACCTGAACATATTAACTTTGCATTTTGCCATCGACTATTCAAGTAACAATGCTACGCCAGTCCACTCAGCATAAAGTAATCTGTCGCGGTGTGGTGCTGCATTGGCTTTAATGGTCGTCAACTTGGTGCCCAGCACCCCGAAGATTGTCGGCCAAAACTTCCCAGTGAGGCGCGAGTTTCTATCAAAGACAATTGATCGGGAGTCTATGCTGCCGAAAAACACGATCGACAAACAGCATCGCTGTACCCATTCCGTTGATGATGTCCGGCACTGCCGCAAGATGAGCCATCTTGCTCAAATGATCCGCAAAGACCACTACACCCGTGTTACCTGCCGAGTCATTCAGCAGGCCAAACACAAACTCCATACTCATGAATTGCCAACACCCAGAGGATACCGGTAAACTGGCCAGCGGCTCAGCCGCATTTGGAGAGGCTTCACCCTCTGCCACGTCTCACACGTGCATACATATGTGCTCGCCCACTTGTACAGCTTGGGCCACCAATAGTGGCAGCTCACCAAGCTGTACGTCGTCTCATGACCAAGAAGACCACTAAGTAGGGTGTTGTGGGCCTCATAGAAAAAACGATACTTTAAATCCTCAACATGAGGAACCACAATTCGTGGCGTATCCGCTGAATCGGAGCTATAATACTGCAAACCGTAATTCAACGAGTATCGGTGTAACGTATGCGCAATCGCGCCGACAACTTCATGTCCGAGTTTCCAAACCCCTTGCTCCCGAGAGCCTGTAGCAGCGCTACACACATACCATCACCTGCGTATGCGGCGCGGATCAAATCCATCACAAATTACTTACCGTCGTGATAGGAGCAAGCTTATAATCCGGTCTGCGTGGCAGCGCATCAGCCAAAACATTCTGCTTTCATGGTCTTTACTTCACCTCAAAGTTATATTCTGCAAATAAGGAGAGCTACCTGGCCATCCTTTGCGAGAGGTGAGGCGCTGAGTCGCAGTGCGTAGTGACGCATGATCTGTGTAGATCAGAAACGGCCTTGAGCCAAGCAGGTGCACCCTTAACTTGACAAGTGTATACTTTGTCGCAAGTAATTTCTTGCCGTGGATTGGGTAGTTCTTCTTAGCAGCCTTAAGCAGACGAGATTCGAACGCGATCACCCGATCTCGCCCCTCGGTGTCTGCTTGCAGCAATGCACAGCCGATGGCAAAGTCCGAAGCGTCAGAGACGACAATAACAGGACGATAGGGATCTGGCAATGCCAGTATTGGTTCATGAAGGAGGCTGTTCTTGATTTTGTCAAAAGCCCACCGATGCTCGGTGTCGCAACACCATTCCGCATCCTACTTATGGAGATTCAACAATGGCCGTGCCATTTACGCATAAACCGCGCTATACTTTGGAGGTAGTTGGTGAGGCCAAGCCACTTGCGCAAGTCCTTTAATTTTTTTTAAACCGGTCAGTCCACAGTAGTCTTGACCTTAGCGAGATACGCTGGAAGGCTACGCTTCCTAATGAAGCACCTTACAGAGGGATTTTTTTCAGCGCCGAAGATGTACTTATCGGCATTGGCATACAGCTTATTCGTACGTATGCACTCGAGCGCCGCTCTCAAATGGATGATGAGGTTTTTCTCATCTGTCCTCCCGTGCCCCGCATGAATGAGGATCGAAGATATTGTCGAAGTATATATGTGCATACGCCTGGTGGGGCCTGAACAACTGCGTTATAAGATGATTAGATGTTGCTGATGCATTTGACAGCCCTTGGGGCATCACCAGCCACTCCCAGAGTATCCCGCTCGGAGAACGCACCGCTGTAGGCGGAATATCACTCAAGATAAGCGTGTAGCTAAACCATACTTTGGAGTTATGATTTTAAAGCAGACAGCTTTATTGAAGAGTTTAATTGGGCGCCATATTTTGCAAGGCTCGTGGGTAAGCGGGGGTTGAATCTTCAGACCAATTCTCAAGTATCTCCTGCCGAGCGGGAAGAATCTTTCGTTCCCCAAGACGCATTTATCGGGCAGTGAACCACTGCAACGGTTGAAAGACAGCATTCATCAGTAGTTTTAGCTGGCGTTACCGTTGTGATAAATCTCTGTATGCTATCCGGCATACATCGCTTAGAAAACCCCCCACCTGTAGCTTTTAAGGACTCTACAAATGCTGCAGCAAACCGCCAGAGATCGTTTCGAAGAAGCAGAAGGTACCAGACAAAAGAAAATTGTACAACAGGACAAAACAATCTGCCATTTAGACGCAAAATCACCTACATTTGGATTGTAGTGGAGCTCCACCAACTTTTTAGAAGTTGCATGGATCTATTGATCGATGGGTTAGCGCTTATGTCATACCTCACCTTGCTGACGCAAAAATATCTTTGTAGTAACTAAGACGGCTGATATAATGCGGGCTGAATAAATTTAATTTTAACGAGAATTTCAATAGAGTTTGAGCAAAGCAATTTTGCAAACAAACGGATCATTATGAAGCCGTACTTGCTCTCATGAGCAATTGGTCATACCTATCGACCACTGTACTTTGTACAGCCTATCATATCGTTCAGGAGAGCATCCTTTCTAGGATTCGGCGTCTGTGCCGAAATGGCGGCAGCGTTTAGCTCATTCTAAGCGTGAACGATACGCCACATACCGCTCGGCTTTCGGGCACAAAACGTGGGCGTAAAATGGGGAGATTTATTCTCATGCACCATTCCTGCACCGTACTATGCACGGTAAAGGCCACACTGTTTCTTAAGCAGGGGCTATTGGCGTGTTACGTGGTATTTGGTTCCCGGAACCAGGTTGATCTCATGACGCACACCACGGTCCGGGCAGGGTTTGGAGACAACGTCTTGAAATTCCTTTACCAATGGATAGTACGGATTAGAGGGATTCTTTAGTATCGACGATCTACTTCGTGCAATCAGCACCCTCTTGGTGTACTCCAGAACAGCTTCATCAAGAAGCGACGACGGCTTAATCTCCGTTCGGTCGCATATTGACCACCTCGGCTAAACTGCCTGCCTTCA